ATATTAAGTATTCCGTGTATGATCGAGCCATTTTTCATCCTCTTTGTGGTCACCCACGTACTTTCCATAGTCAGCTACCATTGTGGACAACTGATACACAACCACGCCACTAAATACTGGCAGTATCTAAACATCTGATAGTCTTTCAAAGACCGAAATGGAGCAGGTCTTAGACGATTACACGAGCACGGATATAGCGCTGACAATCCTAGAAACATAATCAGAACAAAGCGGGATTCGAACTCACGATCGTAGGATTCTGGCACACCTAAGGGACGCAACTCTGCAAAGCGCATCTTAGGGCCACTGGTGCTCCCATAGAGTATGACGTCTCACCACGTGTCACTACAATGGTAAACATTCGGAACCACACGCTGTGGGACGGCCACGTGACTGCGTTTGAAGTTCGAAGCATGTTATTACGTACAAATTACTATTTGACAAAGACTAAGGTGATGAAAGCCATTCTCGGACGCATCTGTCACTCCTGCCGCTTCTGTTATTGAGGTCTCAAATTTTCAGGACACCTTCAAAGAAAAAATGCTTTTATTCAATTTCGTAGGAAATAACCTTCGGCCATATTGTTCATCGTTGGGATAAATCACGAGAGGTTTAATTTCAACATGGTATTGATTGGGTAAAGTTTGTATCCGGCGGATGATACATAGTGTGTTTTGCAGCCGCTGTAAATGTGATGCACGAGCAATTGAAAAATCACTAAATCACATCTGCACAGTGTGTACTCTCGAATTAACTGTTATTTTCTGGTTCTATTTATAAAGGAATGAATGGTGCGCAACAATGCTATTTTGTACGAAGCATTTAAAGCATTTAATATCGGATCTGTCTTGACCGGTAAATGATTGAAATTATTTCCTTTGAGATTTATCTTATTGATTAAAATTATTTCCATCGATATTTATTTTATAGCATATTTTGCATTGTTCCCTTTTCTCAGAGTCATAGTACCAGTAGAGTAACAGCGGCAAATATATATGATGCATCTCAGATTAGAAATAGACTGTATCTCATATGGTCTTTGTGTATTTTAGTATTTCATTAAAAACATTCAAGAGTTACGTCCCCTAGCCATGCCAGGATCTGCCGATCGTGGGTTCGAATCCTATTTACCCCGATTATGATCCTTGGCCTGACAGCAGCATGTCAGTACTGATGGGTTTCAACGACTTGCTGCATGTTAGACTCTAGAAGTTCAAAAAACATCCTTTAGTTTAACTACTGTTAACATCAACTTAATCCTGCCATAAGCAGTGACTTAAAACATATTTTGTTTCCAACACAAAATATGTCTACCTCAATGACCCCCAAAACACAGAGAGAGAGAGAGAGAGAGAGAGAGAGAGAGAGAGAGAGAGAGAGAGAGAGAGAGAGAGAGAGAGAGAGAGAGACATTCCATCAACAACAATCTATCATTTAAACACGTACATCAAGTGAGTGAATAACCTTGTCGTTCGTATGACTTGTTAGAGGTTCATTGTTCCGGAACGCAACGCAACGGAAACGCCGACAGTAGCAACCACCTACACTGCTCCGGTAACTACAACGACGTCGACTACCGTGAACGACAGCGTCATCAGTGTCACGACGTCGCTCGCAGAAGGCTTATGGCAATATGAGGCTTTGGTAATTACCTCCTGTGGGAGAGCATGTGCTTCGGCAATTAGGTGTCGCTGATTCTAGAGATAGTTTCAAGCAAATGACCAGAGAACAATGCCCTTGTCAGATGTACTTTATGTGTTTGTGAGTGACTATTTGAGAAAGTGTTCTTCTACGCATCAATATTTCAACTATACCACGACATACCGTAAACATTCTAGTCTTGACAACTTATACCAGTGGTTGATATCATGAACAACAATCCACAACGACAGGGTGCGATGGCGCAGTCCACCCAATTGGCCGGTTATTCGGGGCCTATTCTGACATTGAAAGCCCACTTGGGTACGAACACACACAATTCGATTGTTAAGACATGAATCTTAAATTTCCTATGTCTAATGTGAATGTATTTAGAACCCGTGAAGATCCGGGGTATAATAGGCCTTCAGCAGCCCATACTTGCCGTAAAAGGCGACTATGCTTGTCGTAAGAGGCGACTAACAGGTTCGGGTGATCAGGCTCGCTGACTTGATTGATGCATGTCATCGTATCCCAATTGCGTAGATCGATGCACATAATGTGCTTGGTACATACTCGATTCTTTAAAGACCACCGTCACATAGCTGTAATATTGATGAGTGCGGCGTTAAACAACAAACAAACAAAACAAACAAATACTCTAATCTTACGTAACAATATGACGGCGACAACCTTTAATGGCTATTAACATTCGCTACACATTCTGTTTGTTTCAACAAATATTTTGCTTCCATTCGTTCTCAAGAAAGTGTTATCAAATACAAGTGACAAAACGTGTCGACACACAACAAACACGATATTTCAACATGTTATTGCAACCCTACAATAGCATGAATCGTTCTGTGTTAAATGTCACCAGTCAAAGGAAAACACCCCTTCCCGTCCTATAATGTAGGCATTGCATGGGGCATTCAGAAAGAAATAACGGTGAACATGTTACTTGCGTATGAGCCACGTAGACACTCGAGCAAGTAGAAGTACATATCGGAAGTACATTAGTTAACAGTAAAATATGTAAAACAAGGGTTCAGAGGTATGTATACAATCCTAAACAAAGGCGTGGGTGAGTGACATTTATCAACAGAAAGCTGTGTAAGCGAGATGAATATTCCTCACTGACATACAGTTAAACCACGAATCTCCCCTATCTTGATGTATCGTTCATGGCGATGAAACTTGATGGTCTGCTTTAACAATGAAACTCTGATATCGCGAACACTCGGATATCGCGAACTTCGGATATCGCGAACTTCGGATTACTCGAAATGTAGTTGATGGTCCGAAGGACGTAACGGAGGTAACGAATTTTATTATTTTTGCAAACAATACTAACGATTATTCAAGTAAGTCGTTGGAATTTCATAAGAAAATTCGAGTAAGGAAATCTCTGTAGTGTTCATACATAGGAATTATAAATACTATCGCGGCTAAATAGTAAGGGACGTCACTTTGAAATGCAATAAAGTAGCGATAGCTTTAGTATTAATCCAAACCAACCTACCACTCTATTAAAATTATTGCAAAATAGCAAATTTCAACTAATTAAACACATCCCGTCACTACATTTTCAAAGCGGTCGGACGTTAAAAATGAAGACGATGGCCTCCACAAGTACAAATACGTCACTTGACCTACACACAGGTCAAAATATAATGAACGCTTGAGGCGAAGCGAGGTGAAATGAGGATCAACGTCGCGTACAGATTACTGTGCTTTTATAGCGACGTGCATGCACATGTGTGTGTGGCGGCTTGTTCTGGTCCGGTTTTATAGTGCCAGCCCACTGAGATACCATGCCACAGTTTAACATGAATACCCCACTCAGACACATTATACCAGTCGTCCTTGTTTCGTTTCCTTTATACCGAGTGCCAGGTAGGGTAGCACTTTTCAAAGTCTATTGGTCTATCGGTCTATTGGTCTATTGGCCCGGGGATCGAACCACCGACTTTCCGTTCTCCAGACAAACGCTCTATCCCCCACACCACAGAGGCGATCAATGAACACTTTAAAATTAACATTCATGAAATAATCTAATCGGATATACAGGCATCGTTTACATTTCTACATGAATGCATTTTTTACACAATCCCCAACAGACAGATGTCACAAGGGTGTCTATAATCCCCGTGTTCATTAACAAATATAGAAGCAAACATAAACCGTCGCCATCATCCAACTGGTCAAGATTATGGTAACTACGGCAACTGAATTGTTACTTAAACATGTGTATAAGCACTCGAAGTTAAACCTAATTACTACCACTCACAAAGTGGAGCTGGAATGTTAATAATTCAAAGAAGTATTTCTAACCAGCACTATTGTTGGTTTGTCACATGGTCCAGTAAGCCAGGATCTGGTTGGGAAGGTGTAAACATTCAGAGGACGGCATACGGCGGTCTGATAAACACCATATGTATATATACAATGTTGGACGTGGTAAAAACACAAGCAGACACGCTCCTTGCTGGGTAATTAACTCAAGGAGAACAGGCAAATGGATGTACGGTAATTTTTGATTACTTGACCTTCATCGTGGCAAGAAGCCACGATACTAGAAGGAACCAGGCAACTATAGGAATTAAGCATTAATCCCATACAACATGCATCGCTAGTGAAGATTCAGAGCGGATTCAGATTCCCAGGCCGACGTTAGAATGTTAATCTTGTAATATTCACCGATGTCAATCGGAAGACACGTGGCATGGGCTCATATAGAAAGAAGTCCAATCGTTGGTATGCGGACAATGATCTTTAATCAGAAACTGAGAAATTATGTGATGTCCTTTCTTGATTAGTTTTCGCGAGGTAACACTTTTTAGGAAAGGTTTGTTTTTCCATCGCAATAACGCAAATACTATTGCCTGTCCTGTTAAAGTCATCAGCTGTGAATGTAATTATTTCCGAACCTGCTCGTTGTGTTTGTTTCAAGAAGGCTCAATCTTGCAGTATTGACACGCGTCATCAAATTGCCATTACATGAATGAGTACCATGTCAATAGCGTCGGCAGTTTAACACATGTACAAGCCCTGTAATGATTAACAGCCATGGTTCTATGATGACTCGATATTGAAATGCTATGTGTAGCAATGATAGCTAATATGACTTATGAATACGTTATTATACAATTAACGCCTTTTAATACAGACTATTTCCTGCTCTGCATCCGATACCATATTTCAACATGGCCACGTGTCTTCATCAATATAGGAACGTTGTGCCGGGCTTAATGGTTTCTGCTATGAAATATTAGCAATAATAAGATAAATAGGCAGTAAAAGAAACAAAACATCATCAACATTTTGATGCGGCGGTTAAGATGAAAGAAAAATCCTCTTACCTTTTCCCCAACGGGTATAGGTGTGACCGGGCGTGTCAAAGCTGCCAGGGCAGTCACTAGTATGACTACCCACCCCTCCATTGTCCCGTAGTGTGTTGTAGTTACCCACATATTGAGAGACCCCGCACGGGAAAGAGAAACTACAGGTCCCCGTAGCGATGCGCTGTTTAAGTAGAGCCTTCGCGTCTGTGTGATGGTGCTCACCTCGTGACGTGAACGATGAGGGCGGGAGGGAGAGAGGGAGGAAGAGGGGTAATGCTCCACACCAGGAACCAGGTCAGGTCAGCAAAGAGCTTCACACAACCAGCCAATCTTGGACCCCTCTGTGGCATGTTCAAGCGATTCTTACAAATCATCGTTGATGTAATAATGAGCCTTTTAACCGCTTACGCGTGTGCTGAGTCAGATTGTTTTGTAGAGGTTGGGGGAAAGAGAATTGAATCTTGTTTTCTCTTACGGTTTTTGAATTATTTCAAACTCGAAGGTATTGACAGTCAGGTTAACGTTGAACAAACCTTTTCACGCTTGATCAAATTCGTACTATTGCCTAAACTACAGTTTGGTTTAACCATAATGCACGGAATTTGTTTCAAAGTTCAATGTTTGAACGAAATATTAAAATAATATATAAATGATAATTAAATAATGAATCTGTATTAAAGGAAATGAATTTACTTGCCCGACCCATATGTATTATTATTAAATTGTTACCAAGTTATTGAAATGCATCAACAGCGTTCACAATAAACTTCCATCATTACTCTGAGCTAAGAGATGTAAACTGCCGGAAAAAAGAAAGTATGCACTTGAAAACTGGATTTGACCCAAAAATTACAAACGTTATCAAAAGGGTATTATGCTGAAAACACTTAAACTTAAGGTCCAAAACACAACTATGATACCCGTATCAAATACATCACTATGGAATAACATTTCTCGTTTGTTTCCTTTTTATCCACCATCAAACATGAGTGTATACATTCTAACATTGGTGTATACTTTGGCCTCGCAGTGTAGTATAATGGATGCATATATCATAACATCGATATTATATTTTATTTAATGTAATAAATACAATTCATCAAAAACAAAACATGAATGTTTTCCCTGTGTATTCAGATTATACACATGATCGTCAATTCAAAAAAGGAAGTGATGGTCGGCAGTATTCCATTCGTTAATGATTTGATGATTAAATAGTTTAAAAAGTCGGTATTTTTATTGGAATGTTAATTTGAAAAACGGCTGACAAGCCTGATTTATTCCAATAATGTGGCAACTGAAAGCAGAACAACAAACACACCCAACATGATCAACATTTTGATAAAGGCAATTTTAATTTTTTATGTGTAGTTCCAACTGCAAGACGTCCTCGTCGCTGACCATTTGCATCTTAGGAGTGAGTAACTGAATCTTGCTGTAAGTCCCAGTCAGCAATGTCCCAGCAATGTCAGAAAAGGCATTACAATACTCGAGAGTGGGCCTGGCAAACCAGTGACAGCCGGTCAGCCAGGTCACACATTTTCATCACAGGCTCCATATAATTTCTTTATTAGTTTGTTGTTTAACGCTGCACTCAGCAATATTCCAGCTATATGACGGCGGTCTGTAGATAATTTAAGTCTGGTCAAGACAATCCAGTGATTGACATCGTGAGCATCGATCCACACAATTGGGATATGATGACATGCATCAACCAAGTCAGCTGTCCCATCCCACCCCACCTCCCACCCCACTCCCCCATGTGACATTTTCCCATTTGATACTCTTCAAGGTGGCGTTAACTCACACACTCACTCTCTCACTCACTCACTCACAAAGTGTTACAGCTTGTTATATCAAAGCAACCCATCCTCAGTCTTTGCTAAACGATTACAGTAAATGTTATTGATGTACTTATAATACATATACACTTAAGCATAAGTATCATATGTGGAAAAGCTAACGCGGTGAGGGTGTGAGGCGGGCTATCAACCCGAATCTCAGTCGACTGCGATTCATTTGAGCGTAAGATAATTTAAGGGACACGGTCCTATACAGACACGATCTTCATCCTCACATACTGATGTACAAAAGCCCCTCATCATCATCAGACATAGTTGCAAGTGATACGAACATCACGCGTCAAAAAGACACGTGTCATGTACACGTACACGTCATTGCCCCAACCGCACTTACAAACGAGAGAATGTTTAGCATGGTGTACCACATGGCTAAGAGGCTTGCGCTGTGCCAGATTCTCTACTTCCATGTATGAGTGAACATGTCGGTGTGGCCTTCGCTGATTTGAACCTACTTGTTTTCATAACACCAGCACCTTCACTTTGGCATGTTATAATGGAACGTACAGAGGTTGACGCTTATCAATTTATATGACGCACTGGTAACTGTACAATTAGAGTGGCGTTGTACAAAGCGATCTTAGCGCTAAGGTGGTCGTAACTCTCATACCTTAACATAGACTTAGACACTCGCGGCGCTAAGGTCGTTTTGTTCAACGGCACCTAGAACGTTCGTCTCTGGCGATGCGGAGTTGTGTCCCTTTGGAACAAAATCAACCAGTTAGGGGGTTCTAATACCAAATTCTCACCATAACCTTTCTCTTGCATTTCACAACAGTAGTAAACATCAACGACCTGCCTCACTATAGGCTTTCTTCCCGTATTATAATGTACCTGGGTTACCGTATGTTTGTCGTACGAGTCGACCTTAGGTATTGGAGGGTCACGCTCAATGGCTTGGTTTACAGAGTGTCAATGTACCCAAACCGCGTGGGTCTTTGCTCATAATATCAATCTCTGGTTTGTCATGTCCAGACCCGATAATCTACTTGCAGCCGTCATAAAGCTGGGATACTGCTGCCTGTGGCGTTAAAAAAAAGATATCACGCCGAGCCATAACAGAACTACTGCTTAAAGCAGTGTTAAACCCAAATCTTTTCTCACTGTAAATTTCCATTTAGATTAAGACATCCTGTATCTTTTTACAAGCACATAATTCAAGTAAATCAAGTTTATTGAGTTAATAATGTGTTCACCTGTGTTTAAAACGAAACCTAACTTTGTTAAGTATCGATTTTTCTTGTTGCGATACGAATTATAGCTAGAATTATCGCCGTAACAGACCAGTACACGAGACGTAATCACAACGGTGCCCGGGGGGACGCTGTGTGGACCGATTGTTATGGTGGCTGATTTGTGCCATTCCCATTTTCGCATTCTATTGCGAAGGCGGAGACGCGAATGTGCGATGCGAACATTCGATGTTATATTACATCGTATCTTCGCGTCATCGCGCGGCATCTTCGCGTTTTCGTATTGCATCTTCGCGTCTTCTTCGCAAGAGAACGCGAAGATGCAAAATGGCAGAAACCAGCCACCATAGCTTGTAGATCAAGTTACATCAACAGCTTTTTATGAATACGTGTCGCTTATGGGAGAGTAATCCCTTTTCCACGATGGATATGCTATGCAGTTTCAGTGGCGACTGACGTAGATTGATAATGGACCGACTGATAGTTTACAGTGGATGGTGGTAGCGATGGTGTTTTGACTTGTTTTTTCTAATTAATCATATTGACGTTTCTGGTCGATTGACTTTCTGAATCGTAGAATAAACACTATATGACGATTATATCTTCTAAACGGTGATATACGCGTGTGTGTTTTTAGAATCAATTATTCAAATAACCGACAGACCATCGAGCTAACCATGTATTTGATACATGCCTTTTGTACATTCACACGGTTCCAGCTTTGATAAGAGAATATCCACTTAAAATAAGAACATAAATGTATTCCACGTATTGGTCGTGTGACGTGACGTTTTTGACATATTTGACAGAGCTCCCTTCTTGTTCACCACAGTTGAGTTTCGGTTCACGGCAAGAACAGATTGAATTTCATGGAAATAAATCGTTATAATGTTTTTAACTCCTCGACAAAACCCCTGATGTAACACTTCCTTGACTTGCTGTTATGAATGTATGTTATTTGTTATAACCTAGAACTGCATCTCGTTTTTAGATTGTGTTTACCTAAAGGTGATATGTTTGTTTGTTGTTTAACGCCCCACTCAGGAATATTACAGCTACATGACGTCGGTCCGCAAATAATCGAGTCTGGACAACACAATCCAGTGATAGATATCATGAGCATCGATCAACGCGATTGGGATTTGATGACATGCATCAACCAAGTCAGCGAGCCTGACCACCCGATCCCGTTAGTCGCCTCTAACGACAAGCATAGTCGCCTGTTACGGCAAGCATGGGTTGCTGAAGACCTATTCTACCCCGGTCAGGTCCCGCGTGTCTTTAGTAGCGACTGAAAGAGGATCGAATGGCCAGGTACCCCGATGGCTAAGATCGTAGCTCATGTTTTCAGTCACTGGTTCTCTGATTCAGACTCGATTGTTTACTGGCCGGGTGATATGACTGGATTATTGCTGACTGCGGCGTTAAACAACATTCTGTTATACTGTTATTTATCGCCGCTCATCGTATTCAAGAGTAAAACGTGTACTATTAATTATTAGGATTAAAGACCTATTCTAACCCGGATCTTCACGGATTTACCTAAAGGTGAGGTTAACGGGGTTCCAGTGTACAGTAAAGTACGGTTATAACGAACTCAAAGGGACTACTAATTTGAGTTCGTTATAACCGTAGTTCGTTATAAGCATATATACAGCATAACTACAGCAAATAGTCGGGACCAAAAAAGTAAGTTCGTTATATCCGTCAGTTCGTTATAAGCGTGTTCGTTATAACCGTAGTTTACTGTATATATATATTCAATCCACTAGATGTGATTGGTATGTAACGAATAGTAAGGGCCTCGACATGGTTTTGCGAGTAGCTCACTATGGATATAAAAAAGCGTTCGTTACAACCACGTTTTACTGTAATGTTACAGAGAGGGTGCGTTTTCACTTCCAGGGCTGATCGCAGCAACGCGACCGACGTCGCTTCACGAGGCCAACATATATTCAACTGTAAAGTCGGGCGGCATTCCGCGTAATGAAAACAAGGAGCAGTAATTACCTTAATGAGGGGGTCGGGGAGGGAGGGAGAAGTTGTTCTAACACTCTCATCCCACATAAGTCTCGTGCGATTGGTCTATCACGTGACGCAGGCTCCCAAGCTCCTCTCGTGAAAACATCATGACATAGATTCGTGTAGATAGAAGTGTGTTTTGTTCACCAGCCGGATGGGTTGG